CTCCTACTTCCCTGCTTCTGTCACACCTGCAAACTTTCCCCTCCCCTCTGCTTCCTTCTCATGTCGCAGTCCTCCCCTCCTCTTCCTCTGTTCTCTTTCTCCATGTAGGTGAGTTAACTGGGGCTGCTGGCACCACTGGGAGAGAGAGAGAGAGAGAGGGAGAAGACTTTCCCTCTTCTTCCCTCTATTCCTACTCAGACATGCACCTTGTTACACAAACCCACTGCCAAGTGCACATAATGTTTATGTTTTGAGTAAGGCTCACAAGAGAAAAAAAAATCATATTAAACTCAAAATCCCAAATGCTTTAATCTAAAGAAAAGCTTAGAGAACAGCTAAACCTGCTAAGATACTACAAAATTTCAGTTGTAAGCATTTAGTCAACAAAATCCTTTTGAATAATTAAAAAGGATACAATAAAGAAAAAGTCTGGAAAGGCAAAAAATAAAAAATCTGAGCTTTTTCCTCATCAGTAAGCACACAATCCCTGAGGGTAAACAGGTCCCACTAACATTTTTGGTCCATGATGACTTAGCATTTGCTTTAAAATAACAATGAAAGCTGGTTTCACAAAAACTGCTCTCCCCCTCGATGTCAGCCCTACTATTAATCCAAATAAGAGTTTCCTTCAGCGTTTTCTGATCCGCGTTTTGAAGTATCTTTATCAGTAACATTAAAACTATCCAAGATTACTGATCTGTGGTCAGTGCTAGATTGCAACCTCTACTTCCTGTTTATTACTTTCACAAGTGACGACGTAATGTTGATGATGATGTGTGATAACATTACACTTTGCAGGGCGTGGTTAAGTTATTCAATTCAATTAATTTATCAAATGGAAACACCACAAATTCACATTTCTTTTTAACTTTAAAAGTTTGCTTAAATTCACATTTGAATTAGATGGATAAATGGCTCAAGGACTCATCACAGAAGGAAACCTAACAAGAAATATTTAACATAAAATCAGCTGATTCCACGCTTTGCAAAAACAATAATGAGGCCTGGTTCAGATGAAGGCAGGTATGGGTGGACATCACCTTCAGGCGAAGTGACGGCAAAACCTACATTTAAAACCTGGTCCTAAACTGGAGAAGTTTGAATCTGTCTTCAGCTATGTTTCCATCTTGATACCGCCATCTGGTTAACTGGTTCCATAATGGCGTGCTTGTGCATGTTAGCCATTGCAGACCTCGTCATCTTGTACACGCACTGACAAAAATCAACGATGGCCGACTTAAGGTTTCAAAATTTTGTTAATTTTGCTCCTCCGATGATGCAAACAAATATTTTGCTCTCCCGCTTTTGTTGTTCGCAATCTTCTTCCTTATATACTTCTCCGACAGCGCCACTCACTTGCTTGGAAGAGGTATTACAATGCCTATCAAGGCTCCTTTGGCTTCATCCGTACAATCAATCTTTTCTGTGACGTTGGTGCATCTCATGCCCTGAGACAGACTGGTGACCTGTCCAGGGTGTACTCTGCCATAGACTGGCACCTGCGAGGAATGGATGGTAGATTGATGGAGCATCTCGACCAACATAACGTTAACATGTCTACAAACTAAAGTAGTTCCAAGTGGTGGTTTAACATTGAAAATTTATTTCAGCTAATATAGCATTTTGTATTGGTAAAATTGGCTAAAATAAGGTATTAACTACAGCAATGGCTTCGATTTTTCAACTATATTATAAAAACATAGAACTATATCTTTACTTCAATAAATTATTTCTAAAACCAAATTATTAAGACTTTTTTGTCTCACAGTTAGCCACTCGTATATTTTTTGCTAACATTAACAAAGGTTTCCATTAGAGATGTCCGATATTATCGGCCGATATAAGCATAATTATGTGATGTCTGTCAGGTTTCCCCCCCGATAATTAAAAGCCGATAATATAATGCCTAGATTTTGCAAAATATGTTGAAGCAAGCGCTCTTGCCAACACGAGACGCTCAATGATGACGTCATTAAACTGTGTAGCAGCAGCGAAGCTAAACTGTAATGAAAAATGTCTGCGGTGTGGAACTTTTTTAAAGTTTCAAATGATGACTTGAAGTTTGTGATTTGCAACAAATGTGAGGTCCTTGTCATGTGTGGGGGAACCAAGACTTTGTCCATCAACAGCGATCCTACACTGGACTTCATTTGTGTTTACATTCAATTCTGTGCAATACAGCTGCACTGGTGAGGTACACTTTTTTCCTATTTGTGAAGAAAAGAGATTTATCTCTTGTTTGATTATTAATTGTCAAGTTAATCTCAGGACGAGCATATTCCAAAATGTTGTTTGAGAAAGTGTTGAAAATAAATGTCAAATTTAGCATTTTCCTGAAGTTTAAATGCTGTTTTTATCCTCTACAATAGTAATTATTTGTGGAATATACAGTGTGTAGTGGGGCATCACAGTAAATGTAGGTTATGCCTAAATTTTTGTGACTGGCAAGATGTGAAATTAGTTTATATCAGTATCGGCTTATATCGGAATTGAAAATTCAGCATTTGGAATATCAACATATCGAACATCGGCAAAAAAGGCAATATTGACCTCCCTAGCTTCCATGTTTTTTCCTCTGAAAATGTATAAAGTGCATTTTGCATTTTGCTTTTGTTATTGTTGTTAGTCCAGGGAAAGGCTCTGTGTGTTGCTAAAGCTAAATAGTAGTACTAAGGCATTACAGACACTAAAGTGGATCATTTTCTTAAGATATATTTCTGGATTACAATTCTCATCAACAAAGAAACAATTTTTTTTTTTTTTTGTGAACAAAATAATCCCAATCTCTACAGCTTGGCACCATGCAATCAAAAAACTCCAAATCCGATGATTTGTAACCAGTAAATAATTTACGACTCAGCAGAAGTAGCCTAATCCAACGGTAACATCTTTCTGTGTGGAAGTGGTCACTAAGGGAGGGAGACACATGGTTAACCAATTTGCAGTATTGGTAAATGATTTAAATATGAACTAAGAGGAAGCATAAAAAATGCCAGAATCTTCTCTAAAAACCTGTTTCCTACGGGGCTTTGTTATTCGACTTACAACTCTGGAATTTGAAAATACTGTCTTTTCCAGTTCTAGCCTTTTATTCAATAGAAAATCTCCTCGTTTAAGGTGATGGTCTCCATTTTCTTACCAATATAGTGATTAATGTGTACAGTTTGTCATACTAACAATGCTATTGTGAGGATGTTTAAAAAACAAAGTATAAAACTTTGTTTTATATTAGTAAAACTACGTTTTTACAGCCGCTATCAGGAACCTTTATGAAATCTTTATCTATATCAAACCATATTTTGCAGACTTCCAGCTTTAAAGGCACAATTTATTTACAAACAAATATTAAAGACACATGAGCTAATTCGACCTGACTCAATGATTGTTAAACATACAGTTTCTATCTGAACCTCTATAAAGAGACATTAATTCGTAATTATTATAAGAACTTCTTATTTACATTATTATTAACTGTAAAAAAAAATACTAATTGCATTCATTCTGGTTTAAAAATTGTGCCCAGCTGCTTGTCTTTATACGAAAAAGTAGTTTTAGCTTTAACTTTGTTTCTGCAAATATGGCAGTTTTTTATTTTTTTGTTTTGTTTTTTAATAATACATTTTATAATAGAGCCTTCCCATAATTTATTTTGGCTGCTATAAATAACTGCAGTCGTGCCTAGCGGTCTTACATAACGATTAGAGCTCTGGCAGTGTCTTCAAACATGGAGCAGTTTGGATTGGAGACATTTTTTCATTTTTTTAAGTAAAAGAAGAATATTCAGAGATTTTTGTCTTACTTTGGCATAAATTAGCTCCCATGTTGGATCTCCTTTGCTTTAGTCACATTTAGGATTACGCGTCTAAATCCTGTTAAAGATTGTTTTCCTGATTTCTATTAGGGGAGTACCTCTCGGTTCTCCTCTGTCAAACTTTACATTAAAAACATAAATCGAATTCATGTCTAGAGCTGAAGGATAGATTTCAGCTTTCCATCTACTGATGGGTCTGTTCTCCCTTCACACACAAAGCTCCCACGACTCTCCAGGCTCTTCCTTTCAGGAGGCTTTGATCGCATCATTCTCACACTCCTGTTGACAGTTTAGCACCTCGGTGTTGTGGAAACCTCCGCTGGCCGGCATTGTTCTCTCCCCTCCCTCCCTGGCCAGTTCACACCTCCAAGCCTCAAGAGAAAGCCCTTCCTGACTTCTTACCATCCCGGTAAGAAATTGCACAACACAAACAAACAAGAACTTTATGAGTAGCCTTGAAAAATCATTTACAAGGAAATGATTCAAAGCTTCATCATTTTCCAAAGAAATAAAATCCATCTAATTGACTCCCAGGCATCCACCGCATCCACTTAGCTGTACTGGAAAAGAAGAAATACTTGCACTGCGGCACATAAAAGCGCATGAGTGAAGACCTAAGACAGATAAAGAGCCGATAAAGCAGCCAGAGGTTGCTGAGCATCGCAGAGCGAGGGATGAGGGGATTACAGATGGAGGCTGAGAGGATGAGTGGATGAACGCAGGATGATCTAAGGATTAACCACGTAAACTGAGCAGCCTAATAACACATTCAGCCAGCTAATACAAATGCAAGCAAACAGATTGTTTGCTTAAACACAGACGAGTCCCCATAAAACATCACGTGATACTGACGTTTTTTGGAATTATAATTTATAGATATTTCTCCCTTATTTGTGGAGATACAGCAACAATCTGCCTGCCTTTAGAGGCCTAAGGATGAAATAAACGAGTCCGACAAGCTTAAAAGATGATTACTATCATCAAGGACAGGAAGGAAAGTAGGTGGAGGATAGGAATAGATGAGTGATGGTTGTGGAGGCACTTCTTCCTCTACACAACCATTAAAGTGAAATCTACACCCCCACCTTGTGGCTTAGAGAACAACACCGAGCTGTATTAGTGCTGTACTGCAGCAATGAGGCTTATTATGCAACAGATGTAAAGCTAACACTTTCACAGGTGCTCTTACCTGACCGTGAGACGGATATCCATGATAGCCCAGGGTCAAAGGATCGTTGTTCTGAAAGAGAGAAGCAGATTTTTATTTTTATTTTTTTTTAAGTCAACTTCATGTGTAATTTCGAAGGCAAACACTCTGTGTTTTCATCTGTTTCTGTTTTGTGTCTTTATCAGACTTTACAGTTAGATGACATTTCTGTGACCCCCACACATACAAATCAAATTAACTTCACTGGTGACACACTCCTGCAATCTCCCCAGTCAGCCTCCTCTCCAGCTTTCCACCCGGTGGATCCTTTTGTCTGCTTGTGAAGACGTGATAACGGGGGCGAGGGAGCTCATGCGAGAGGCGGATAAAAGACAGGAAAAGAAAAGAACGAGTGTTGGCGCGGCTCTTAAATTCATAAATAGGTCAGGAGTGTCGGCGAGCATGAAGCCCACTGGCGTGGAATGCCATCATAAACCCTTATGCAACCTCTGACAAGTTCCTTTAAGTGTTCTGGCTGCGAGGAGCAAAGCCTGCTGCACCAAACGTCTGGAGGAAGACCCAGGGAAAGTCAATCCAGGCCAGTTCTCCCCTACGCCATCATGCACTCCTACTTTGTATCTACGTGTTAAAATTTCATCCAACTCTACATCAAATTTTGGACGTCTAAATATATTTAAGTGGATTAATAAAGTCAAATAGTGGAAAATAAAGCATTGGTAAATAACACTGTTTTAAAATTATATCTGACAAGCGTTGAAGGTTATGTACGTTAAGCAGCTGCTGAAAGACTCTCCTGAGCAGATTGTCTGATTAATTAACAAGATTAAACACATTTCACATAGCTTTATAGTGCCATTTAAAACAACCACAGCTGTAAATACCAGTGAAATAAAATTGTATAATAAAACTGTTTAAAATATGAAACAAGTTAATTAAATAAAACCAGAGAAAAACATAAAGAGTCTGATACTGTGTTGAAAGTAAAATGATAAAACTGCTTTAAAATTTGATTTAAACTGCTATTAGATAAATAACAAAATGCGGAAGTAAAACAAAAAAATTAAATTAAATAAAAATAAGAGTTAAAACTTTATAATAACCGTAGTTATGAATCGTCTACATTATTCAGGTAGCATTAGAATACCTCCGTAAAGAAAAAGCAACCAGATCATTTCAGGTAAAGGTCCTAGATGTATTTTAGGGGTCAGCTTTAGAAAACCATTACTGAGGGCTGCTCATTCTGAGTCGGGTCCGACTGGAGGGGGGATGTTTATTTCCACTATCCCTGCATGCTTTTTCCTGCTATTCAGTGGTGCCAAAAGTACCCACATTTGTTACTTCAGTAGAAGTATAGATACTGCAGTTTAAAAACACTCCGGTAAAAGTTGAAGTATCAACTTGACCTCTTTACTCAAGTAAAAGTGAAAAACTATGTGCTCCAAAAACTACTTAAAGTATAAAAGTATAAAGAAACCTTAAAAAAAACAGCCAGATGCCACTATGTGAATTAAAAGCTCATTTTTTCGACCATTTCGAAAAATTCTTTGAGATAGGGCCAAGGATGAGGGATGGTCTTGTTGGTCTCCATCTCCCGATACGCTCTTGTTTGTGTCCTACCTTTTAGACATTTCAACATCTTTTTCTGAACCCAACATTGTAGCATGGCATAGACCAGTGGTTCCCAAAGTGTGGGGGGCGCAATGCCATTGTAGGGGGGGCGCGGGAAGCGGTATGGATGAATGAAGAAAAAAAAAAAAACAGCGCTTGCTTGACTGTGCATAATGGACAGTTGTGACACTGTAATCCAGATTTGAGAAGATCTACAGCAAATAGCAGGCTCACTATAGCCACTGAAAAGATGGGAGGATTAAAGTACAAAGAAAAAACTCTCAGGGAGCTGTTCAATGTTTTCACTCCATTTTGCACAGAGGCTTTTTTAATGTATAGATTATAGCAAAGTTAAATATTGTTACAAATAAAAAAAAAGAAATATGTTTAAAATAACACAGACAACAAAGAATCCTCTTCTAATCTACATTATAGAACTATGAAAAAAAATACAGTTACACAAAAGTGTTCCACTGTAAAGATGGTGTAGTTTGTTTTGTTGCAACCTGAAGTGTGGAATAAACTTCAGTGGAGTTTGAAAACAAAATATGTGTATAGATTTATTATATCTGGTTGAACGATGTGTGTGCCCAGTTTATTCTTTTTTTTTGACATGGAAATTTTATTGTAATCCAAAGGGGGGCCCAGAAGAAAATCTTGGGGAACCACTGGCATAGACAATTCATGTTTGCAGTTTGAAGAACAGCTGCTTGCTTCTGATGATATGACTCATCCAATGACACTAGTTTTCACTAGATGTGGATGGAGCCAAAGATCTGCACTGGATGGAGCACATGACGGGAAATAAATATTTAGAAACATTAAACCAAAGCCAAGAGTAACGAGTAACGTTTGTTTTAAAAGTCAGAAGAAGGAAGAAAAATAATGGAATAAAGTATAGATACCTAATAAGTGTACTTAAGTACAGGAACAAAGTATTTGTACTTCATTATTTGACACCTCTGCTGCTATTGAATGATCAAACCTGTGTGAAATGACATTAGATGGATGTTATATAAGTAAACTAATTTAGAACCATAGCAAAGACTCTCACTATCTTTGTTCTTGTTAATACTTCTTGGAAACTATTTGAAGCGTACTCATAATGCGTTTTTTTTTCCCCAGCTATTATGTAGATGTATGTCATTAAAAAGGAGACTTCACAGCAGCTAGGAGCGCACTAAGAATGGGCGGAAAGCCGAATCCCGTCTCTGAAATCATATCGGTAGATTACAAAACATCTCCGCTCCTCCCTCTTCTCTCAGTCTCCCATCCTATGATCTTCCTTTCATGTGCAACCAATGTCCCCTCATCTGCTCTGTCCCCCAGGGCGGAGGGGTAGGGTGGGGTGGGGGAGGCGGGGGGACACTTTGCTCTGCGTACGCTGCAGCTTGAGTTGCCTGATTAATACTGGAGCCTTCTCACTCTGGACCCCATGAGGCCATTTCACTAAAACTGAGCACAATGTATCCAAATGTAAGAGGCAGAGGCGAGGAGGAGGAGGAGGAAGAGCGAGCAGGAAGCGCCTTCATGATTGAAAAATACAGCTTGAGCGAGTCTATCTCAGAGCCAAAAATGTACTTAGTGATCTGGCTTTGGGAGGTAGAAGCTCTAAATAATGAATCACCTCTTAGAGGCTTGAATAACATGAATAAAGTATAAACCGTCTCTTGCAAGGAGGGCAACTCCGAATGCAGCACACTGCAGGTATGGAGGAGCAAAACAACACCCGGAGAGGAGACGAAAAAAGATTTATGGAGCTGCACGCTGTGTGGAAGTTTGTGTGTGTGCGTTTGTGTGTGGGGTGGCGGACACAACTGGAAACATCTGGAATTCATATGTGCTAGAGACTGAGTATGGAGCTGGCAATAACGGGAAATGGACAGGGAAAAAAAGATGGAAGGAGCAAAGACAATGACTCATACATGAGCGGAGTCATGCGCTTAATTTCCTTAAGGAACCGGGAGGACTGAGATGAAGGGGTGGGCTGCATAGAGGGAGTCTCGCTCTCGCTCTCCACGCCACACTGACTTGCACTGCATATGAGAAACAAAACAACTGTGCATGTCACGCGGTCATGCTCGATTATCTGGATTCTGCTCGCAGCAAAACGAAGCATGGCTGATTCCTGGGTGGGGGGGAGGTGAAGAATGTTTTTTTTTTTTTTTAGTTCAATTTAGCAAATCCAAATTTTTCATCAAGAAGTCTAAAAATAGAACATCTTTTCCCAGCCTTCCTGCTGTGAGCGGTCATTATCTATTCATATCGGCAGCAGAGATGACATCAAATGGGATGTTTGAGAGAACAAACAAAAAACCAAATCTTAGGTTTCATCCACTCAGAGCGAAGACTGTATCAGCAGAGAGAAAGTGTGAGCATATTGATCAAACCACACAAAGCCAGAGCTTCTGCTATAAGCTTGGTAATACGTATGCCACACCAGTGAGGGGCGCACTAATGCTGCCATACAAGTAAGGAAAGAAGGCAGAGCATAAACAGCAAACTCAGGAGGGAGAAAGAAATAAGAAATTTAAGTGAACAGATGGAAAAAAGCGGTGTAAATTCCACAATGCAGAGATTTTGAAACAACAGGAGATCTGATGTCCGCCATCTTTTTTATTGTTGTATTTGTAATGAGGAGAGTCCTAAGTTAGATTGCATGCTCAAAGACGCCTGCTTGAAGTAGAAAAGAACAGATACAGGTTTTGTTTTTTGCTTTTTTAAGACTGATACTGAGTATTTTTACATCAGGCTAACCAATCTCCGATAGATGCTGCTGATTTTTTAGATCTTATTCTTTAGGCTGACATCGCGTCTCTCATTTTTATACTAATAATTAATAGTGGTGTCCTATACCGATACCGGAAATTAGTCTGATTCAGTCTAAAAAAACAAATATTTTATTGTTTTTCAGCCTGCATCTAAAATATTTGATATGATCAAACTGAGAAAAACACTGTGTTGTCATAAAGGGAGAGTGGCGGCCTAGTGGTTAGGGAATTGGGATTTGGAATCCTGAGGTTCTGAGTTCGAGCCCTAGTCCCATAGCCTCAACTCTGGGTCTCTGAGCAAAGACCCTTAACCCCATACTGCTCCCTGGGCGCCTCACAATGGCAGCCCACTGCTCCCCAAGGGGATGGGTTAAATACAGAGATAAATGTATCTAATGTGCGATCAATAAAGATCAATTATTATTAAAATTTTTTGTTGACCATCACTTGATCAAGCCTTTTCTAACATCCTCCAATGTCAAGCTTTTATCCAATCCCAGCTGCAGTAGCATCTAGGACATTTCATATTATTGATTTGTTTCACTGAGTTATCTGATAAATCAAACTGTTACCACATCCGCTCGGAGGGAACCAGCAAAAACCTTCCCATCCACAAAGGCAAAAACTGCATCCTTTTGCTCATATTCCAGCTGAGACCGGTGCAGCCATGTTTGTTTGCTTCAGAATTATGCC